TAATCAGCAAGCGCTGTCACTTCTTCCGAAACCTCTTCGTCTCTGGACATAACAATTCTTCGCACATCTGCATCCAGTCAGCAAACACATCTAATCCAAAGCGTAGATAACCTCGCTTACTGGCCGCTAGTGACGGAACACGGCACCGATCATCAGGGGGCGGCAACGTGTTTGTTACCTAGACCCCCACTGTGGATAACTATACAATTAGAGTGTTGGGGGTCCGATGTCTCCTTGATCGCTTCTCCAAAAAGCTAAAATGCACCCGAACCCGAGCAACACTTGTCTTCATAGAAATATCAATCGCGGCATGCTCATCATGAAAAAGACAGTGTCTTATCAATCCCATCTCAATCAGCAAGGGCTGTCACTTCTCTGAAGACCCCTTCATCTCTAGACGTGACAACTCTTGGCAACTCCGCTCCAAGCAAGGGCATGCAACCCGTCCCGTCGCATCGGCCCCCTTTCCATTCCACAAAAGGCGCGCCAACAAGCGTTGGTTCAGCCCCAAGACCGGTCGCCAACAGCAGCCAAACATGTCTATTGACCCTGCCGAGCGCCTCGCTAACCACTATGCGATAGACAGAATTGTCTTGGCAGGGATGGGCATGGTTCGCAGGAGTAGCCTGGCGGTGGCCCCAGGATTTCCCGACTGGGATTTGACTTTGCCCTCCATGTCTCATATTCACAAAAACGTTGTTCCAGAACCCCCGATGCTACCGCCGGCCGGCGGCTGTTCTTTGCGCGTTTGTTAACACGCTGGTCATCTCTTCCCGACCTCACAACCTCGGAAGCTCTCGCTCTGGATGATAGATACGCCTTGACCCGACGACAACGACATCTCATCGCTGAAGCAGCATCACCAGCCATCAACCACATCTCATTCACTTCATCTCCTCGCGTCGTTTTAGGAACCATCAATCACCTTGCGGCATCTCGCTTCATCGATTCCCATGACTCGACCTTAGGTCCCTCTCCCTTGGGTCATCATCGCCTTCAAACGACTGCGATTTTTCATCGACACTAGATACCCATCACCTCACTCCTAATCTCATCCAACATGACGGCAATGTACCGCTGGACCCGCGTCCGCACGCTCGCCATCACCCTCACCTTCGGCGGCTGCCTCCTCTACTACTTCTACACATCATGGGCCCGCTCCGAGTCCGCCGCCCTCGAGCGCTACATGAACCTGCACAACATCGCCCCTCCCCCGGCCACCCCACAATCCAGCTTCGACTGGTCCTCGGTGTCGTACAAATACCCTCCCAAGACGCCAATGACTCCACTGCCAAAAGGCCGCCGCCCCTCCCTCCCGCGCGTGCAGCACCAGTTCCCCGCCGAGTCCGCCGCTGCCGCCCGGCTCCGGGAGGCCCGCCGGCACGAGGTTCGCGAGCTGTTCAGACGCGACTGGGCGAACTACAAAAAGTACGCCTGGATGAAGGACGCGCTCAACCCCATCTCCGCGACCGCCAAAGACCAGTTCTCCGGATGGGCCGCGACGCTGGTGGACTCGCTCGACGTGCTCTGGATCATGGGACTGAAGGCGGAGTTTGAGGAGGCTGTCGCTGCTGTCGCAACCATTGACTTTGGGTTCACGAATGCAGACCGCGTGAATACGTTTGAGACTAACATTCGGTATCTCGGTGGCTTGATGGCGGCTTATGATCTCAGTAAGAGGAAGGTCCTGCTCGATAAGGCCGTGCAGCTTGGCGACCTGCTTTACGGGGCGTTCAACACCGAGCATCGCATGCCGGTGGACTTTATCAACTTCAACGACGCCAAAGCCGGAACGGGTCTGGACGTTGAGAGCTCCGTCGTCTCAGCGTCGCCCGGGACGCTCTCACTTGAAATGACGCGCCTGTCACAGCTCACGGGCAACCCAAAATACTACGACGCCATGTCTAAGGTAATGGACCTCTTCCACGACGGCCAGAAGAAGACCAAGATCCCGGGCATGTGGCCCATGTTCGTGTCCATGAGGAACCGCGATGTCGTCTCGGGCTCGCAGTTCACCATCGCCGGCTGCGCAGACTCGCTATACGAGTACCTCCCCAAGATGCAAGCCCTCCTCGGCGGACTGGAGCCCATGTACGAGGACATGACAGAGGCCTTCCTCAAGGCCGCTAACGAGTCCCTGTTCTTCCGGCCCATGCTGCCCGGCAACGAGAACATCCTCATCTCAGGCAACGCCAACGTCGACATTGACGGGAAACTATTCCTCGACCCGGAAAGCGAGCATTTAGCCTGTTTTATCGGCGGCATCTACGCCCTGGCCGGGAGATTGCTGGGCAAGGAGGAGTGGGTAACGATTGGGGCGCGGCTCACGCTGGGATGCTACTACGCCTACCAGGCCATGCCGACGGGCATGATGCCGGAACGCTTCAACATGCTCGCGTGCCCGCGCAGGGACGAGTGCAAGTGGGACGAGGACCGCTGGGAGAAAGAGAAGAGGCTGCGGCCTGAGTTCAAAGAGCACCTCCCCAAGGGCTTCACCACGGCCAAGGACGCGCGGTACATCCTGCGCCCGGAAGCCATCGAGAGCATCTTTGTGCTGTACCGCATCACAGGTGACCGGGGCTTCCAGGACGCAGCGTGGGAGATGTGGAAGGCCGTCAGCAACGGGACGCTCGTCGAGCATGGGAATGCGGCGGTGCTGGACGTCACGAAGAAGGCGGACCCGCTGCCCAAGGAGGACTACATGGAGGTAAGAAAGAAAAGACTCATCGCCCCCTTCGACATGGTTCAAAAGAGATGGACTTACTGACTGACGAGAAATAGAGTTTCTGGCTTGCGGAGACGTTGAAGTACTTTTACCTTGTCTTCTCGCCGCCTGACCTCATCAGCCTCGATGAGTACGTCCTCAACACGGAGGCCCATCCCTTCCGGAGACCCCACTGAGGTCTGGCCACTTGTAATATTGTAGTTAAAGGCTGGATGTGAAGACGGAGGGTTCCGTTAGCCTGTGCTCGAAGAGGGTACAGAGCAGTGAATCCCTCGCTGAATTTGAGACGGACGTGGTCATTGCTGAGGCGACGTCCAGATGAACTTGTTGATGTTGGCGAGTAATGAAGGAGTTGCTTTTTTCTTCCACAGTGGGGATCACTCTTCCAGCCCCCGGCACACCTCGTGGTGATGGGGGTCCTCACGCGAATTTCATCGGGCGAATTCATGCTTTTTTTACCCCTCGACCAACCAACAGATGAGAGGGCTCTAAACCAACGCTCCGCACACCAAAGAGTTGCGGTGATCGTGCTTACGTGGCGCAGGCCTTGGGGGACAAGTATTGGAAGGAGAGAGTTTCTTGGAAGTCTTGGGGCATACGTCACAGGAGTTGCCAACAATGTCCTACAGGAGAGAAGCACACGCTTTACAAAAGGCATACCGCCAAGTCGCGGGGCTACATTATCTTAGATCTAAATCGTAAAGACGGCAGTACAGAATACCAAATATCAGGGAACACCGTGGCTCTAGTAAACCCGTCGATGGGACGGAAGTGAGATCGCAGGAGGACGCAATATGAGTGAGACAGCGGCGCCGAAACCTTGGGCCGAGCGCCAGCGGTGTATTGGAGTGGGCTGTAAGCTCTCGACCGGAGATCTGTTGAAGCTTGTTTTAGAGTGGGCAATATCAATCTCGTAGTCAGGCAGTCGGACTGGACCCACGCTCGCAGAATCTGGCAGGAGAGCACACGACAGTCGGGCAAGATTGACCACTTTGATCGGTTGTGGTGAGAATCCTCCGGTCATGTCACGATGAACGGGCCGCAGGCGTCACCAATCATCGAATGAACAGTCGTCGACTATGCAGGCATTTAAAATTAAACTAGAAACCTACTATACAGCAAACTTCCAGAATAGGAATCGTCTCGCCTCATCCTCAGCTGTCGCTTGCGTCCCATCCGGCACATCGCTGCAGCGTCGATCAGTCACTGCCACATGAAGCCGGCCCCGATCACCCATCACGACGGACAGCTCCGCGCCATCTAAACTAATCTCGCACGTCTCTACGGTTCAGTCTCAACTGCCCATAATCTTACGCATTTCTGCCCAGTACATCCACACAACATGCTGTAAATAACCGTGTAATCTCTCAGTGTCATGACAAAGTGAGGCTTGATCATACTCGCTGAAGCTATCCCGCCGGGCAACTCATGAATCGCGTCCGGGACGATGACCGCACCCGCGCCCTACAAGCTCTCTACAGCGCCCCTAAAACCCCCAACCCCCGGTCCCAACGGGCCCCAAAATTGCCCGTAAAGAGCCCACCTCATTGCACCGTTGTGAAGAACAACGACCATCCCCCCACCCTTCCCGCCAAGAACGGATTGAAACGCCTCCCATCGCCAAGAGCATGATCAAGCTCCTATACTCGATGGCTTTTAATAGCCCCAAACACAACTGCGTACGCGCCAAGACGCGCCGTCTTTGTCCAAGACTTTTTTCCCTTCTTGAGCCACACTTTGGTCTAGTCTGGTTGTCTGCCTCCCCCTATCGGCCTGCCTATCGGGCTCACCGCCGCCCAAGCACCTCGCCCAGCCAAGACACAGACCAGCCAGGCCACCCATCTCTGTAGCTGTGTTCCACTCAATTCTCACGGTCTAGGCGGCGGTGTTGTTCTCCTCTCCTCTACCCATGCCAGCTCCGCAAGCCATCGAAATAGCATCCTCCTTGTAACCAACTCCAACGGAGCCAACTCTTGGTATCGACATGGAGTAGTAGACGTCCACACATACCGAGAGAGAAAGAGAAGGTGGCGGAGTGTCAACTGACCATCCGGCACCTGCCAATGTTTCCAAACCTTCTTTCTCAAGTTCTCCATCTTTCTGCTTTGAGTCTTGTCGTGAACTTGTATAAGAAGCATCCGTCCAACCCTCCTTCTTGCCATCCCATCCTCCTCATCCCGCACATCCACCCGCGAACACTCCCACTCCATCATCCAAACTTTCTCCCAACCTTTTCTCTGCAGCTCTAGTCGACATCACACAAATTCAAGTCACCATGCGCGCCGTTTACACCCTCATCACCCTCCTCGCCGCCACCGTCGCCGCCCGCTTCGACGGGCCCTGTGTGGACGTCGAGTGCGGCACCGCCCGCACCAACTGCGAGGCCGACGGCATGATCTGCGTGCCCTTCCCCAGCGTCGACCTCGAGAAGCGCAAGGGCTGCACCTGCTCCGTTGGCTAAACGCTTTCAGTCATTTACACTTAGTTCAAGTCCTTCTTGAGTAAGTCGTCTTCCATCAATAGTCTCACATTCGACTGTGTGGAAACAAAGAGCTCTTGCTGACTCAACTGCGTCACACAGACCACAGTTTCTATCTAAAGACACGGCGTTTGGGGCACCAACTTTTGACACATTCGGTGCGGCGAAGACGGGACACACTGGCGCTTTGGCATTTCCCTTCTGTTTTTGGAACTTCGGATGAAGAAAAGCCTCATGGCAAACTACAACTAGAGATGATCATGACAATACACGGGAGGAGTAGCGTAACCAATTTGGCATTATGCCTCCTTCAAAAATATGATATCCAAACATTCAAGCGAGCATTCTACTTTCTCCAGTAACACCCATCTTTTGCCACCGTTCAGTGCAGTGACTCCATTGACCAGAAATTCTGCCTCGCCCCAGAAGTAGCAAAACATCTCGGCAAAAGCCCACGACTCAAGCCCACATCTCTTCACAGTCGGCCTTGGCGAAGGGCGTGCCACCTCATGCCGCCTAAACCAAGCATCATCGTCCAAGACTTCTCCGATCCGGCAACCCGATCTAAAGCTTGCCTCTTAATCCTCCGGACCCGATGGAGGCCGGCACCCGGTTGTGGCCTTGCGGGTGACGTAGATCATACGGCCAACGTCAAGGGTGGGACCTTGTTCGAAGCCGGCCGGGGTCAACTAGTAGTGCCGGCTTGTGATGAACACCGCCACGGCAGGAAAGTGGCTAGGCTAACTCTAACTTGAGCGGTGATTCTTGTCCGACCCCGATGGTGCTGTGCTGGTGGCTGTGGAATATCTTCAGATCCGAGCCCGATAGCGATGGGGTAATATCAGAGTGCGTATTATTACTTTGTTGGAGACGATTCTCGCCGTAGTCATCGCGACGGTAAGTATTTCTTCAACTTTGCTCTTCACCTTTCCCGAGCCCGATAGCGATCCAACTTCTGAACCTTGTTGATGATGAACTGGGCTGTGAAGTTCACCTGCAGCACTTGAACACTGACTGAGTCGCAGGGATCGCCTCCTCCGGATCTGCCGGCGTTCATCCAGTCTCGACATTCCAGGCTCATTTCCACAATTCTCAGAGTCCGATTGCGGTGCTCATGAAAGAATACCGACCTGTCTTCAAAGTCTCCCACCGATACCTACATAGCATCATGTCCTCTCCGTGAACGCCTTTCAACCCCGAAACCGACCATCGCCTGATCTGGACCAAACTTTCCCCTGTCTGATTTCGCCAGTGACATCCGTTATAGTCCAAGTCCATGTCATTCGAAGCTATCTTAAGCCCCTTGAACGAACAAACTCTAGATCAATTCCCGGTTCGCGGGACCGACACCGACTCAGCATGTCGATCGTACGATTGACAGTATGGAAGCTTTCAAGTTGCCACTACACCCGGTCGACACTTTCCATTCCCGACCCAGCCGGTCGCGAACCCGACCACCACAAGACATCCAGACTTGCTCGCCCCCTTCTCCGAAAGCGAGAACACATTCAAGTCACATTTCTTTGCACCTTCATTCGTGATGAGTTCAGTTCATATCTTGTCATTTCGAGTAATCCTATCCTAAACACCCAAAACAAGATTTGAGATCAACTCCCTGGTTCAGTGTCCCCCAGTTTGTGGTATCATACCCAAGTGTGTAAAAACACAAAAGAAAAAACTCCGGCCACCAACCTCTCTGGCCCATCCTAAAACTCCAAGCTATACAATACGCAACGCTTGCGTCCCGTGATAGTACAAGTGTAAATAATACAGTAAAGCCAACATCATCTTCTCTTGCCACGCAATGTCGAAAGCAAGGATCAAGTCGACATCCTTCCCCAACCTTTGACAAACCCCCTCTGCGCGCGATTCACCCTCGCCAAAATCCCCAACCCAACATCCTCCCCGCCGCCCCATCCACCAGCGCGCTTCACGCTGATCCCAAACGCCCTCTCCTGCGCAACATCCACCCGCTCCACCAGCTCCGTGCGCCGGCGCTTCACGCGCTCCCAGCTCATCCGGAACCCCATCGCCTTGCTCCCATCAAGAAAGCTCGTCTGGATCTCCTCGGTGGGCATCCACTCCGCGCCCCTCCCCAAGAACCCAAATACGTTCCCGTCGACGAGGAGCGCCGCCACGGAGGCGATGCTGCACGGGTTGCGCGGGAGCAGCGTGTCCGTGCCGGGTGTGAGCAGCCACGCGACGAGCGTCAGCGCGAGGAGGAGGGCAAGGATGGACTGGATGATGCGCGTCGACGCGTTGTCCTGGACCAGCCGGCGCAGGCTGGTCACGTCCGTGTCCTCGAGCATGCCGGGGACGACCTCCTGCGCGGTGATGTCGGGCAGCCGGCGGCGGGAGTTGACGTTGAGGTTCTGCGCGCGCACGATGCCGTGCTGGCGGACGATGGCGTCGGCGACGCGGCCGCTGCGCGCGAGGCCCGGGTCGCCGAGGTTGCCGGCGGGGATGGCGAAGCGGGAGGCGACGAGGGAGCTGAAGAAGGGGTCGAGCTGGTTGCCGGTGGTGAGGTTGGCGAGCAGGCCGTATTGGAGGGGGAGGAGCTTGAGCTGTGTGCGGCGGACGGTGTTTTCTTGCACGCGGGGCGGGTAGGTCGGGTCGACGTGGAGGCTGGAGCCGGTGAGGCGGACCGTGGCCATGAGGGTCTCGACGGTTTCGTTACAGCCCATGGCGGAGATGTAGCCGACCTGCGTGGGGGATGTGTCTGCGAGTTGGCCCCAGACGTAGGTGAAGTCGGAGCACTGGCTGGATGGGCCCGCGGAGCGCGGTGTGGCGACTCCGAAGACGGAAGACGGGGAGACGCCTGAGGGTAAGACGGCGTTGGAGCGGATGGAGGGGTCGTTGCAGGGTTCGCCTGCGATGTCCACCCGCATGCCCTGCGCCACGGAGAACTGGTTGGGCACGTTCGGTATCGTGAAGTTCGTGTTGATTTCGGATTGCGGGTAGAGCCTGCAGTCAAGTCTCGATCGAAGAGCAGGGAGCGTGACAAGGATGGTGCTGTCGCCATCCTTCATCGACAGAGGTTCCGTGAGCCGTACGCCATTGAAGTTGAGGTCTTCAAAGGTGAAAGACGGGAAGGTCAGGTTAGCGTCCAGGATGAGAGACGCAAGAAGCGTGTCTGTTGTGCAGGTGTTACACGGCGCAGTGGCGTTAATGAACTGGTCGATCTTTTGCAGAGTGACCGGGCGCGTAGACGGGATGGGCACGGTAGTATACAGAGCTCCGGAGAATGTCGCAAGCAGCGAGGCGATGAAGACGGCGGTGGTGGTGATGACCACTGCAATGTTCTTCGTCTTAACAGCATCATAGACGATCCGGGGTTTGGACTTGTCCATGAAGTCAAGACCAACAGTCGTCTCGAAGGAGCCACCCTGCTTGAGCTGGGTATACGGAGCAAGGCACCGCGTCGCGCAGTCAGCGGACGCGAGGTACAGGGCCACGATACCGAACAACACCCCCGGTCCAGTCGTCCACAGGAAGTGGCGGTCGGTGTTCGCCGTGACGGTGGTAATACCCTGCCGCGCCTCGGAAAGTCTCAGAACAACCTCCAGCGAGATAATCATGCCCGCCATGATAGACACCGCAATCAACCTCGCCACGGGGTGCAAAGGCATCGGATGGCCCCAATTGGACGTCTTGACAAACTCGGGCGGCGTATCCTGGCGCGGCGGGTTCCCCCCAAAGATCTTGAAATACCCCTGCCCCTTGGACGCCTTCTCGTACGGCTCCACGCCGGTGTAGTAATTCGTCCCAAGCAACCTCTCCCTGATAGTAGACACGTGCGCCGCGCCGGTCCCACGCAGGCACTGCAGCAGCGACCTGCTGTGCGCAAGGAGCGTTGCCATGTTGATTATGGTGTTCGGGTGGCGGGGCAGGAAGCCCGTCCTCGGGGCGAAAGCGACGGCGGCCAGGGTGAGGACCAACGCGAAACCGAGGAGGCCGGAGAGGAGGTGCGCAGGGATGGGGCGCACGTTGAGCCGCTCGCCGATGATGACCGCCGTCCCCGTGATTCGTTGCGGCTGCGCCGTCTCTGCCATTAACGAGTTGCGTGCCAGGAGGGCAGTGTACTGGCGCCAGTATTTTGTGACAATCTGGGTGAGGTTGCTCGCTTGCAGGAGGCTGTCGATTGGGGGGATGCCGTTGTCCCTGACTTCCATCGCCACGGCCGAGTTCATCACCGCGTCGGAGGCGACGATGGCAACACCGGGGTAGCGGCTGTTCACACTCGGCATGGCACCGAGGATCTGCGAGTCGGTGGGATATGATGCGAAGTGGCCTTGCACAATATCCATCGGGCTGACCAAATTCAACGTCCGGTTCTTCGCAGACCGGGTGCGCTCGATCTTCATGAGTTGGGTGTTATTCTTCTCAACATGGACAGTCGTCACGGCATACGTAGGTCGGCAAATGAGCGCAGCAGAGCGCGTCAGCTGGCCTCGGATGGGCACGTTGAACACCTCGCTGGACGTCGGGACGCTGGCGGGGTCAATGGTGACGGCGCCCGACATGACCACAACCCGTCCGTCGTCCATGTTCTGCGAGTTCCCACACGCACCAGCCTGGAACGCCGTGAAGAACGTCGGCAGCGTGAACCCGACGAGGGCCATGTTCGGGATCTCCTGCGTCATGGAGCAGTTGGAAATCGACACCGTGACGTTGAGCTGCGTATCCGACGCTTGAATGTACTGGATCCCAGTGAGATTCAGCTGCGCCGGCTCGCACAGGATATCCGACTCGAACCCGTCAACGTCAGCCCTCAACTCGGCCGTCGACTTGAAATCCGACGTAAACGACTGGAACGCAAACTCCCTCGACGTGCCGTCCGGGAAGTTCAGCCCCTTGGTCTGCAACCCCACCATCGTGAAGAACGGCAACGCCCCAGCTGCCCGCAGGTTGCTCGGATCATTCGTGAACGTGTTCAGCACATTCAAACTCGCCCCTCGCGCTGTGACGATCTGAAACGTCGG